CAAAATCAGGGCTTAATTCATTCCACCAACCCATCATCTGCTTAAAGAAACTCCCCTCTTTACAGTAACCGCAAACGAGGCACTTCCATGTCAACCCACAATTCAGATCGTGCCACACACTCCACAAAAAAGAGCCAAAAACCCAACCACGCGAATTCTTCCGAAATTGCCCACAAACTAGCCCACTTAGGATCTGACAATGGAACCACATCTTCTATGGCTCGTACTCGTATGCCGATATCTAGAGCGTAAGTCGCCGTTCATCAAAGGTAAAAATTCACAAAGTTAGGAGCTGGCTATATAGTACACCTGCTGTCTGTGCGGAATGGGTTCCCATATATCATCGTCTGTTAAACAATATGCCAAAAGCTAAATGCGATACAATTATCAGAGGCCGAGATATACGTTTATTTTTTTTTTGCTGTAATTTTTTGCGATCTTTTTTTGTCGTCTCGAAAAATGCGAATTTTCACACACATGCGATGGGCGGCGGTGGGGGGAGAGGGTGTTTAAGATTCAATGTGATGTGATTACATATTATGTGCAGTTGTTGTTGTTGTTATTGTTAGTGTTGCCTTTTGTCTGCCGAGTTTTATGGTCCAAGGTTAAATGCTTTGAAAATGAAGCTGAAAAGCAAGAAAAAAGCCGAGAAAGAAGGCAGAAAGACACAAAACTTGGTGACTTTTGTCTGAGATTTTTGAGATCATTTTTTTTCTTCTTTTTTTTTTGGGCAAATGGCGGCGGAGGGGTGGTTCATTTGATTTGCAGTGAATATTAAAGCAATTTGTGGGATTATTTCCTATTGTAATCAATGCGTCGCTCCGGTTGTGTTTACTCATCATCTAAACAACGTCTCCAAAAATTGTTATTATTTCTGTCTGAAGCACCAACGATTTTTTTTCTTAAATCATTTTTGGTCAACTCATTTTCAAGTACAAGTTACGCTTCTCCGAAAATAATGCACTTTTGCCCTTAGGCTGGAATTTCTTGTGACTGATCTGAAAGGCATGAAAATTGCCCCCATTTAGTTGGGATATTTCTATAACAGAAATTCCATTTCTTAGCTATTTCTTAGCCTCAGAATGGTTATTTAGAAATCTCTGGCCTATTAGTCCCACTTCTTCTTTTACCTTACACCTCTTTTTTATTACCAACTCACACACACACACACACACACTGGGCCACAATTAATTAAAGCTCTCATTGCATTCAAGGTTATCTTTGGAAGCGCTATGTTGTTCAGTTGGTTAATTTACAGCTTTAAATTAGTGTAGTTTACTTTCAAAACACTTTACTTTTGCTTTCAAAATATGCGTTGCTGTTGTTGCAAATGGGTGGGGTAATCATTAAGTTGTTTAAGTAGATTTTCTGCGCTGTTAAGGTTTTGATCTCGACAAAATGCTCCGTTCATACACATATATATAGTATATATATAAATGGTGTCTAGAGAAAGAGAATTAGTGCCGCCGAGTTGCAGAAGCCCGATGAGATGGCAGCTAGATAGGATCGATGATTGGCAGCTTGGCTCCATCGAAAGGTGTGGCCAGGGCATTGTGATTGATCTCGAACACATTTAGAATGTGATTTAAATTGATGATCTGATCTCATCGGAGGCTCTTGTTAGGGCTTTGTTAGTGCAATTTGAAGGTGGGTTACGCGTAATAAAAGGAGTTGGTAGGTGATTAGGTAATCAAGAAATTAAGTATTTGCAGTAAAATGGAATTTAAGAGTGTTTTCTTGAGAAACTTAGGGTTGATACTCAATTACTTAGAGTAAACTAACTATGAAGGGAACACACATTTTATAAAATCGATTCTCATCCTATATACACATTTATTTTCTCATTTAGTCAACTTTGCTCGAGGTGATCATTTTCTCGACCTTTCTCTGTTCCCAACAGCTGCCTTTTAGACCAGCTCAAACTCGATAGTTCACTATCTCCCCCGTATATGCATATATTATAAGTACTAATAGCATATCTGGAGCTATTTAGCATTCGACGCTTGTATTTGTTTTTATTTTTGCCGAGGCGATCCATTTAAGCTTTGGCTGACTGTCGCTCCAATTAAAATACAACTCATCTCCTGGGCCGCATTTGCAAATTGTTGCATTGCAAATTGCGCCTTACATAAGTCAGGGCGAGGCATCTATATAAAACTCTGTTATTGAGTTGTCTACGGTCTTGGTTTTGGTCGCCAATCTTTTACTGCACAGAGAAAAAAGCAGATCATATTTAGCTTTAAGTAAAAAGTTATATAAAATTAGTTTTCACATTTGCACATCATTACTTTGTCGACTTCAACTATAATAACAATATAGAAATTAGCTTTTCGTTTCTTACTTCACTTTGGTATATTATATTAAAATCCTTTTTTTGCCAATCTTTTTTTAGTCGTTTTGACCCCAGATCTTTACCTGCATTTTCCCTGCGATTTTCCTTGGCTTTTCATTTAATCGATTTGCGTATTACGGGCAGCGGTAATGGCTCGACAAACTTTCATTGTCCCCGCCACTTTTCCCTCCGATTTGAATGTGGATTAAGTGTATTCCGAGCCAAGACTTTGTATAGCCTAAAGTGATTTGTTTTTCAGATTGCGCCGCTCTGCGGTCGTCATCGAAAAGCCAACGAAAATAGAGTTTAAATTGAAAAATCCACGTAGAGTACAGATAGACACTAAGAGAGGGAGAGGGCCATAGTTGGCTAAAAAGAGAGGGGGCGCTTAAATCAGCGCACATTCCGTCCGCAGCAAAATGTGTAACGCAATCAAAGCCATCGCTTCCGGTTTAAGGCGCAATTAACTGCCTTGGATTACGCTCTTGCCAGTGGGCAACCCCTCCTCCTTGATACCCATTGCAATTGGCGGTTGGGGCTTTGTAGACCCGACTTCTCTATATATAGAGTCATGGTCATCATTTCGCAGATTATCTCTGAAACATTTCATTTCACTCGATTTACTTCCTTTCGGGCCAACTGTGCCTCAGACTTTTCTGCTCACTCTTTAATTGGCATTTTAGTTGCCGTAAACAAATTTTCAGTGCCTTCGAACAAACGATCAAATGTCATAATTTCTTCTTGCCACCTCATAAAAATGGCCAGTTATTTGAAAGTTTTTCACGGTGTTTAACAATGCTCGGTTTATGGTAATTTTGTTACCATTTTCCCGGCTTTAATCATTTCGCACATCCGATTGAGGATGTTTCCATTGAAGGTTATGGGTAATGGTAATAGTCTTTCAGAATTAATGATGTTTTATGAATTTTCTCTTGGCGTAAACTTAGTTTAAAGGCCCAGAGACCTTTCTTCTAGTAAAGTATCTTCTTGAAAACAAAAGACTAATTAAAAATTAATTGAATTTCCTTAAAGCCCCTTGACTAAACGACTAACAATATTAGTAATAATAGGAAATAGATGAATGGATCTATTCACACAATCTAAATTGGACCTCGCCTTTTGAGAACTTCATTGAACTGTCCGCAGAGCATTCGATTCGTCACTTCTTCGCTTTATTTCGTGTTCTTCGCCTAATGATCTCTTTGCAGCCGCGACTTCATTACTGGGGCTCTGGAACAGGGACTGGCTCTATCAACCTGTCTGGCTTTTGGCCACTCACTAACCTCCAAACGTTTAATTAATGATCTGTTGTTTCTGTTTCGGGCGCTTCTTTTACGCCCATCTGCCACCGCACTCCCTACTAACGAAAGGGGAAAGGGGGAAAAAAAACTCCAACCGACCGACCATCGACTTGTATTTAAAATTAAATTAACCTGCTTAATTTGCCCCCACCCCTGGTAACTCCTCCTCCTCTGCACGAGACGCGCCCAAAACATTCACTCCAAAACGGGGGGCAACGAAAAATCGAAAGGCGCTACTAATCGCCTCAATGCCTATGGATTCAATGTATCTGCATCTGGCGGATACATTCGGCCGATTTTCGTGCATTTAACGCATAAACGCTTTTTTTTTTGGACAGTTTTATTCCGTTTCGGGGGATTATCATTATCGCCGCAGCTACCCTTTCGCCCTTCACCATTTCGATTCGATTTTGATCGCTCAATTAGCGTAAAAGTAACATGTCAAACCTATTAATCACTTTCGAAAAAACACAACACTCTTCTTTTGGCTAAGAAAACAATCGAATTTATAGAAAATACATTCCATACTCTTTCGGTGGGCCAATAGTGCGTGAATTTAGGCGTAGCCAAAAGGGAAAAATTATATAATTTATTTTTTCTTTTGATTGCCAAATTAAAAAGTGTGGCTGTCTGTGTCTTTGTGTATGTTGTGTGTGTGTGTGTTACTGGACAACTCTATTTCGCTTGCCTCGTCTTTTTGGCCTGGCTAAATCTTAATGCCGCCGAACGAAATCGCTGCGTCATTACTCGAACTTCAATTTCATTCATTCATCAATTACAATACAAGAAAAATACAGTTTCGAGCGGTGGAAGCCTTGAATCTTTCGGATACGTGTCGTTGTTGCTCTGCGGATCGAGATACAAAAATACAAAACTAAAATTCATCTATCAATTTTGTTGTTTGTGGTAAATTGTTCCTCAGTTGACATTAAGTCTAATATTTGTTGATCCTGTGATGGTGCTTATTGTAATCAATTAAATTAAGCTGTAGTGGTTCATTAGAGTTTAGGAAATCATTTACTATGTTTAATGGTTCTAAGTTTGGTATATTCTTGGGATATTATAGATCTATAAGTTAAGGAATATTTCTCAGTTAAAGATTTAGTAAGTAAGTAGGGACAAAGCTTCTTCAGAAAGTAAAACTTTCTTTCGTGTTTGCAATTTTTATTGAGATTCCTCATTTGCCTAAAGAAAACTAACATATAGCTCATTCTGATTTATAGAAATATAGTTTTTTTAGTCTGAGTATCCTAACCTGTTGTATACTGTTGTATAACTTTTTTACTTATTTATCTTAAGCATAAATTGAAGTCTTCCTTTAGTTTTGTTGCCCTTTTCAATATCGTAAACTATATCTTCATACTTACATGCTTGATTTTTCTGATCGCTTTGGTAGCATCAATTTGCCAGCCTCTTCTAGTTTATTGAGCAGCTTTGCTCTAATTGCACAACTCGTTGTTGTGGCTGCTCTAGTCGTTGCCTTTGCTGTTGTTGGTATAAAATCCGCACGGATATCCGTTGGCCGCTGGCAGGAAGAAATCACCATTTGAGCACCGTTTGGCTATTGCAGCGTTTTTTTTCCCCCTCTCTCGGCTTTACGGATGTTGATAACTCGTCTGGCATTGGCTGCTGCTATACAAATTTGATCTTCTGGTGGTTATAGTTGTTGCTTCAGCTGGCTGTTGTTGGTTTAGAGCGTAAGTCATCCTGTGATCGGGCCAAGATATAAGATATATTGCATATATCCAGCTAAGATACCCGACGGCGCGTGGGAATTTCAGTTGCGGTTGTATTTTTCAAAGTCTTTAGACAGTTTATAGTATTTTTAAAGGTTTTTTCTTGGGTAATTTTTTAACCTTAAGAATGTTATTTTGGTTTTTATTGCAGGAAAAAGGCTTTGTACAATTTCTTATAAATATTGTCTAGCTGGCAATATTTAGTTTATTATTAAAAGATTAAATGTATTTAATAAATTATTGGATTTAACACTTTTACGTTTATGCTAATTAGGAGCTTTAGTTGTACGTATATACGAGGGAAGTTGCCACTTTGAGATATATATTTTACTGATATTTTTACACTTTTTACAATCACTCGGTCTGGGTAGCGTGGTCTGATTTATGATACAAGTTGTGTGGTATTACTTTTTTTTTTTTAATATATATATTTCTCTATTTAATTAAGTTTAATTGGCGAGCTGTTCTCCCCGGAGTTGACATCGATCCCCGGCCAAGCCGCTTCGATCCAATCCAATCTCTCCACACTTCCCAGTCGTTTCAGTTTCCTCTCGACGATCGCTCCGGACCGGGCTATAATCTTTTCAATTTTATAATTTCATTATGGATTGTCTGTTTAATGTCTGCCCATAATCATCAGCCTGTACACATGTCTCAGTGGCATTTGTTGTTGATTTCCGTGCTGCTCGGATCACTTTGCATTTACGCGCTGTCACAATTTGCATTAATTGGATCTAAGCGGGTAGTTATCATTGATTTAGCACCGATCTCTGGTATATATAGGCCATAGATATGCATTTCTCTGTGTGAGTGTTTTAATATCACATCATCTACGGGGCGTAGTCCATGAAGTTCCTTAGCAATTTGTGATTCGATTTGTGTAAGCATAAACTCGAATTTTTGTTACTGATTTACAACAGAGTTGGATGGATTTATTGTCTATAGAAAGATTAAAGTTAGGGGATAGTTTTTCTTTTTTTTTTTTTAGGTTTGTTTAGGATGAGGAATTCACAGAGTTAGGACTTGAATATTTTTATTTTGAATTTACACATTTTATATTTGTATATATTTTGTATATGTTTAGGATATATCCTTGCTTGATCCTCACTTCACTATAAACGATAACGCTTCATTTTGAATGTTTTACCGTTATCACCGATCGCATGGCGTTACGTCTCGACCGCTTTACGTAGTAGTGGATCTCTTCTGCTCAGCGTTACGTGCTGCTGTTTTTCCGACAAAAGCGACAACACGACCAATAGCTTTGAGACCGTCTCACGGACTGATGATAGACCCAGTCGCAGCCGCAGCTTCAGTTTTCGATTTCCTAATAACGAAAAGCTAAAAAAAAGAGCAGCAGCACAGCTCAGAAACATAACAGAAGGAAAAAAAAAAAAAACAAGCAAAATAGACGACGTCTTCGGCGAGTGTATGGGTGCTCTGAATGAATATACAACGATATAAAACCGATCCCCGATCCCCAGTGATGATTCCACACGAGACTCACAATCCACACGGCTGTGGCAGCGACGCCAACCGAGGTAGCGACGGCGGCTGAGGACGGGGCAACGATGCAATAAATCGAAGCTAATACACTTCTTTCCTAATGTAGAGCGATCCAGCGAACGTGCTCGCCACAGATACATAGATACTCTGGCCTAGACGAGTTTCGAACGGTAAATGAGGGGCCGCCAACCGAGCGATCCGCGAGATGCATCCTGCCTGGTTTTACTCAATGAAAATTCCAAAAGCGTTAGACCTGCATCCAAAAACTGGGTGGAGATCTTCCGCCCCAGCGACGAACAGAGAGCCGAGCTCACGAGCCGAGTATGAATCCAAATCCGAATATGAGCCGATCTCGCAGCTCGCTCCACTTAGGTTCCACAAACTCCAAGATACTGTATCTTAAAAAGTGAGCGTGAAGCAGTCGCCGCTGGTAGCTCGAGCGGGCCACAAGCGGAAAGCATTCTAGTAATTTGGGAAGAGAGAGGTGCACATAGAAAAACAGATTATTTTAGGTTGATATTACTAGTTATAGTTGCGGGATTAGTAGTTATCTTACGTTGTGGGAAGGAATAAAATCCTTAAATTATGTTTTATTCTTCCCTGTACCTGAATATTCTTAACTAAATAATAGGGCTTTTAAGTTATTTTATGTCTTAACATTTCTTAAATTCTGTAAAAGATCATAATGACACATAATTTTTCTCTATTTTACTAAACAAGACTACTTGATTTTGCCAAACATCCATTGCTTAGTTCTGAACCATTTTTCTATGTGCAATATCATTTGGGGAATGGGAAAGTTCAACGGGTTCTTTCACTGATCGCAGATTAACATACGGTCAGAGAAGGGTCTCTAGTCTTAAACTTGTGTGTCCTACTTGGCACGAGACTGGAATCGGGCATTTTCAATGTCCATGTCCATGTTCAAGACCATGTCATGTGCCTTCTTCTTGGCCACTTCACACAGCTGCAACTGCAGCAGCAACTGCAACTCTTGATGCTGCTGCAGTGCCTGGCTGTTGTTGGTGCTGCTGTTGTGCTTTTGCTGTTGCTGTTGCTGTTGCACGAAATCGATCAAATCAAAAATGACTTTGTGAAGTGACTAACTGCCTAACTGCCAGCTGCCGTTGCTAGTTGCTGATGTTGCTGGTGGTGCTGCCGCTTCTGCGCCTGTCTAACAGTAGCTTGGCTGCTTTGATTTTTTGGCGCAAGTCCAAGTCCAAGTCCATGGACATACAACACTTCAAAATGAAAGCACATTCCCTTGTAGAAATTTTACCGTTACAGGTACAGCGCACCCCATGCACATCAGGTCGTTTGTCCAACGTCCGATGTCCGCTGTCCATTTTCCACTGCCATCATGCTGATGATCGGCCTGGCCAACACTTGGCAGCTTTATGGCTCAGATATTTGCAAATCTCCAGGTTCCGCAGCGAGCGTCTTGAGCTGTTATTGTAGCTGTTCTCCTCTTGTTATTCTAGCTGATGATCTGCCATCATCTTCATCCCGGCAAGAGGAAGCGGCCGAGGAAGGCCGAGATCTCTTCAGCCGCGTGCCATGGTCGTTGGTTATTTATTTGAGTCAATGAGTTCACAACTATTTTTCTATTTTTCCTTAATGGCTTTTCCTTTTCCACCCGCTCCCGCTTTTCCTGCTTTCCTCGATGCCCCTGCCGCATGCATTTTCCATCCTCTCATTTTGCTTTGCTTTTTCTGGGGAAGGAAGCGCCTTGTTGTCTTCGCTTGATTGATGGTTTGATAATATGAAGTCGGTTGGGCTGTTTTTTGGCCTCTTCGGAGCAGAGGATTGTTATGATGGTCAGTGCTGCAAATGAGTTCAATTGAAGATTATCTTTTATTAATTAGCGTGGCGGGGGAATGTGGGTCAGCTTTGGAATTCAGTTGCTTGATTGGGGCATCCTTTGTCCGGTGATTGGGATTGGGTGGTGGAATGTGCAGGTGATTGACGGTGGTATGTTGTATCTTTCAGTTTGAGTGAGTGTTTGATTAGCAGAGATATGGATTAGGAGAGGAGGCTAGCAAAAAGGAGTTGTATTCACTAAAAGATATTTGGCGATCTCTCTAATTAAGAAATAAATTAAGTCTTATGTGTTACCTAATGATCTGTGATACCAAAGATCGTATAACAACTATGTTGTATGTGAAATTAAGTCCACACCTTGAATAAATACCTTAAGCTGATCTCCCCATAAGTTACTTTTTAATTGCTTAGTTTTTCAAACTAACTCCCATTGAATGTCTATTATTCGATCGATGATCGCCATGTTCGAAACCTTGTCAACACAAATCATGTTCTATGGAGTGAAGAATTTCCTGATTAACTTTGCCCGAGGAATCGGTATACCAATTGACAGCCAAGCAGGTACATAAATACCAACATATTTATAAACACCGCATAGGAACTATATATACATATAGGAAATTAGCATAAGGCCAGTCGATTCCCATAGATCAGACACGATGCCATAGAGATTATGCATAATTAAAATGTTCATATATAATAATTAGCCATAAGCGAATACACATGCAAAGTGCCGCTGTTAAATGGCTAAATAAACGTTTAGTTTATGGCTTATACCTTTTAACTAAACGAGACGACAGTAAAACAAAAATAAACAATTTTCGAAATTTATGCGAAGTGCGACAAGAAAAATAAACTGAAATAGTAGAAATAATAGAAGCGAAAATCGAGCAGCGAAATGAGCCAACCAAAAAGCAAAAACATTTAAGAGTGTTTAGGAGAGCTTTAACACCTCAGAGCCCCCATCGCTGTCCCCTGTTCGACCCCCTTTAACCCTTCAACGGCAGCTGCTGCACATAATTGGCCCGCCGCAACGGGGAAAAAAACAACAACATGAAGCGATCGTAAACAATAATTTTTCGTATACTTGTTGTGCAGGTGTGGCAGTGTGTGTGTGTGTGTGTGTGTGTATATGTGGAAGACCCGCCCGCCTTTGGCCCGCCGATGTTGTTGTTGTTGCTGCTGTTGCCGCTGGCGAGTTTTTGTTTAAACGTTTTCAAATCGCACAGCGAATGAAAACGAAAGAAAAAATGAAACACATCGAAAGTGAGCATATAACGAAGCGCTCCCCGGCAATGTTGTCGACGTATCAGAGCGCTCGTAATGCCCCGATCCGTTCCGATCCCCCATATACTCGCTACAGTACGTACTGACCCCCCTTCTCCCCGCCATCCGATCTACAATTTCCGAGAGACTTTGCATGGCCGGTCGAACGGCCGACGACCATCGCATGGCATGGGCACATCGAGCTAAGGCATCTTACACATGGCAAAAAAAATATCTTATGTATGCATAACAGCAAGAATTTGCAATATAAAAACATGAATTGTATTCAAACCTGGAAATAGGATTTTTTGACTTTTGAGTTTGTAATTCAATTCCCAGTAAAAGCGAATTCACGCTTTCAAGTGTAAAATTTTCACAATTTTTCTCAAAAATATAACTAAAGTTAAGTTCTCTCAAAAAATCCAAAATTTAGTCCACCCTTATTTTACGCCATAAATATCCGCATTTTTTCCATAGCAAGGCCAAAAATGGTAGGAATGTAATAATTCGTTGAAATTGTAATTTAATTTTTAATAAAGCTTATAATTTTTCGAAAAAAGAGCAACAATAGGACAAAAATTTGTATTTTCAAACTCATCATAGCTTTTTCCCCATGCATCCAGGTTGGCACTGTATGCCTTGGTGACCACCATCGTTGTGGGTTCCACATTGCTCTACTGGGCTTTTAAAGTGGAAAGGGGTGGAGATTCAGTTGGGTGGCTATCTGCTAGGAATTCGCAATGGAGGCGAGGAGACGAGCCGTAACGAACGTGGCTATCTTTATGGCTTCCAACACTTTTAACTTTAATGGAAACTCAACTTTACCTCTTTTAGGATATTATCGAAGTCATAATAATATTTTAAAAATATTTCGACTTTTCAACTTTAGATGACAATATATTTTTAGGGAGTTTTTCAAAAATTATAGTAAATATCTTGTGAAAGCTGAGATCATGCACACTCTGAATATTTTTAAAAGGATATTAAAAACAGATAACTTGCCCTTAAACTGAAATCAAAAAAAAAAAATAGGCAGCAGTAACTAAGGAACTATTTTTACTTCATAAACAATTCTACAAATAGTTAAAGTCTGACAAAACCATTCATAGCACGTATTATTCTATTCTTTTTGTTCAACACGAGCTATCTGTTTCTGCAGATCTGTGGCACTATTTGTGTACACAAAAACACTAGACAGACACTAGTACACGTGCAGAACAGCGAGCATTCCACAATTGGCTCATTTGCTGCGTATCCAGAGACCTTCCCCTGTTTTCCAGATACAGATACAGATACATTGAGAGCCATAGATACACAGATACAAAGGCGAACTGCGGCCGTTGTTTGTCGTCGTGTTGTCGTCGTTCGTTTCTAATTATACGATAGGAGCGCTATGAGCCATGAAACGTGCGGGGTCTGACCTTCTCGCAGAGCCTGCCTTCGAGTATATTGTATATACTCGTACATATATATATATATATATATATTGTATCTGGGCCTGGGCCAGCATCTGTATCTGTATACGAGCCTCCGAATGGATCTGGCTGCCTTATACTCGCAGGCGATTATTAAATTTTCAGCGTTTGGCCGGCCAAAAAGGCTTCTGTAGTAGCAGCTGCTATTAACTTGAGCGCTTACCTCTTACATATTTAATTATTTGGGGGCCAGGCCTTTGAATTCTTGGGCGGGCCGGGACACTTGGCCTAATGCTTTTGGCCACAGCCCAGCCCAATGACCAACCTATTGGCCTTAATATCCGATGACGAAGCCATCTTTCTTTGTATAATAAAACCTAATATGTTACATTTTGTTTTTAATGGTTTAAAATAAATTTTTTTATAATTATAAACTTTTACCTTCTCCTTTAATTTAAACATATTTTTTAGCTCTGACAATTTACCATTCAATTGCCTTCCCATCGATCCATCTTTACCCATGTCACCATTTGCCGTTCCCCCACAATCCTCCACTGAAGATTAACCAAAGTGCGCGAGACCAAAAAAAAAATCGAAATCTGATATATTTGTCTAACATCTTCGGCATTAAGCTCACCCCAGCATCAAAAAACGCTAGATTTCCGCATTAGAAACGATTTTTTAATTATTATTTTCAGACGCCTACACGCAAAACCGAAACTCGATGGCTTCGAGTGGATGCTCTGCTCAAATGTCAGGCTTATTAATACAACAGCCCCAACAGATCTCTCGACTCAAGTGCCAGGGGATTTGTGGATTGAGGTTTGAGATCGAGTTGAGGACGCTGTGCATCTTTATGTGGGAGTGCGGGCTCCATTGATGACACGTCATTTGCTGGCATAGACATAGACATCTTCGTCAAATGTGTTAAGTTGCGCTAAGAGGGAAAACAGGTCTTCCAGTTCAACGGGTCTAGAGTGTCAGTAAAATGTCATGGAAAGCCACTTAGCTGAGAGTTTTTCTTCTTAATATTTTTTCGAATTGGAAGCCTCCCAGCATCCGTTGAATGATATGTATGTGAAACAAGAAATCTAAGAGGTAGCGATCAAAACATTTGTCAATTTTCCTGCCCGGAGGTTGGTATTTGGTTTTTGGTGGTGCGATTGGTTCTTGCTCGCGGGCAATGCTCAATTATGGTTTTGATTTAAATCAGTCTACTGACCCCAAAAGTTCAGCTACGGAAATTGCAAATTTAATAATTGACTAGCTCAGAAAACTGTAAAACCCAAACCAGGGGGCTTATTAATGCGATAACCTTGGCTGATTTAATTTCTGCCGTCTGTTCGCCGGGCCTGTGATTATCCAGCAAACAGACAAAAAAAAAAAAAAAATGAGCAACTTCCATAACAACAAAAGGAAAATCAAAACTTGCACAATTTCGACACTAAACGACGATGTCTGGGCCACTCTTCGAGTGCCTCCGAGCTGCCAGTTAGTCGCATATTTAATTAAGAGATTGAGTAGCGCAAATAGTGTTGAACAATGGCCAGCACGAGTCGCATGTACACTGAGAAGAAATTACTAACTGGAATCATCGTCGGGCGTTGTTGTCTCAGAATCCAAGTTTTCGGATTCTATTGTAAAATCAGAATCAATCCACAATGCTGGATCATAGAAATCGGCATATTCCCCGAGTAATTTAAGAGATTCTTTGGTTTCTTCTTTTGGTTTCCCATCGAATTCGGATTTTTCGAAGCATTTCTCGTACATATCTCCAAGGAAGTTTTCATTCTTGGGTACAGCTCGTTTTTCATGAAACAATGCTCTGTCCGAGTTTAAGCTCAACTCGAGGGATGAGAAATGAACTCGGCGGACAAATGGTTCCGGAATGCAGGAAGCCAAGAGCCATTCCTTAACCATGATCAAACATTTCCTTTTTCCCTCCATCACCCCAAAGGCACGACGTGCTCTATCAAAATAAACTATAAAGCCGGTTATCCTTCTTCCGTGGCAAAATTTCAGTAAAAGAGTCTGGAATCCATGACCGGGCATTATATTGTACAACTTAAACTCGGTCCTTAGCACAGGGTTTTTAGATAGTAACAATTCCTCGGGAATATTATGCTCCTTCCTTGATTTTTCGTTCATTTTTAAGGTAATTTAATTTAAATCAGAATATAATGGAAAAAAATACATACAAAATATAAATATTTAAGTGTTTTAATTTTGGGTTCTAGAATTGTCGATCTGCTTGTTTAGTTTAATGTGACTGGCTTGTTATATAAGTGAGATTTATATATGGTGAAGGGTAAGGCAGTGTCTATGCTTCAAAAACTGAGATTTTTAAAGCTCGTTTTCTTCTTAAAAACAAAAGTGCCCTCTGAAATATATAAATGTTAGCTGACAAAATATTTAAACTAAAAAATAACTTTGAGTTTTTAAAGTTTATTATTATTATACAAAAGGTAGTTCCAACGAGTCAGTACAAAAAATATCTAAAACATTGAAAATTAAAAAAAAGTCGCCCTACATCAAGTTTTTTTCCGACATCTTAGAAATTGATCAAACATTTGCTAGAAACATCACAGAATCCATATCCATTTTATTTTCAAAACTTCCATTTTCAAGTCACAAACATGTCGCTGGCATTGGTGCCCCAAGCGGAACCTCAGAAGATCTACCTTGTTACCTATGAAATGAGGGTGTCGGAAGACTGCAGCGAAACTATCCGGACCATTGTGGCCCACAAAGCCACAGAGCTGATGGTATGTGGCTACATCGCTTATACGCACTGTGGCCGCAAAGTGGGCGGCGAACTGGAGGGCACTGAGGCTGTTCTTCAAGCTATGGTCGACTGGCTAGTGGCCAAGAGCCAGGAGAATGATCTAGGGGACGGGGAGAAGATCAAAAGCCAGATGACGGAGCCACGATTCTCGAAGTGGAAGCTGCAATCAGGGGCCAAATACGATGATTTCTTTTGCTGTTGAGTGCTGCCGAGAGGAGTTGATTAAAAATCGCAAATTGCATTGGCCCCAGAATATTGTTTCGAGTGCATTTTCATCTCATAAACCATAACAATCAGTGTCGGCTGCTGCCGCTGCTGCTGCTGCAGTTGGGCCATTGAACAATAGCCCGGCTGACTCGAAGCTGACTTTTCAAAGTCAAAAACGCGATTGTATCATCAGTATTTTTTCGGGGCGCGCTCTCTGCCTCTGATTTTTTCTTCTTTTTTTTGTTTTTTATCCATTTTTAGATTTTTTCCGCTCGGCACTCGCAGATAAAGTTGAGGAGCCCAAGTTGCGGCGAAAAACAATCGAATCAATTCATTTTTCTAGGGCGTACTGTGCCACTTGAACGTTGAACTGCAGACGCCCCAATGCTGACTACCGCTGAGGTTTCGCTTTTCGGTTTGGCTTTTCCATCTCCTCCGGAGTTGCCATTGTCTTCCAAGACGGCAGCACGGTCTTGATCGTGCCCCGGCACTAGTCATTTTAATTTTTCAAGATTTTCCGAGCGCTGTGCTTCTGCGCATTTCGCAATCTGAACTCTATAAATCTCTCGTGCCGGTGTGTTAGATTTATGGGTTATGGGCCAAATGGGAGCGGGCCAAGCCAAATGTTCTATGGAAACCCCACCAAAAAAACAAAAAAAAAGGCCGCCTCGAAAAATCCGCGATCCGGGCGATTCAATTAGATCGAAACGCTGTCAACATCCAGGCACTAATAACCCACAACAGTTCGGGAGAGGGGATATAAAAAAAAAAGTAGAAATAAAACCAAGAGTGTCGTCTGGCCTGTGTCTGTGGCATAATGTTGCATAATATTTTATGCATGCAGAGCTGGCAGATTGCAACATGTTGCCATGTTGCAGCTCCAGCTTCGACGCCGGCTCCGCTGATGATGATGATGATGCATAGCCCCAAGAATCGCTGAGACAGCCAAACGCTGTGGCGCCCCTCCCTGAATCTGAAAATCCTGAAAACCTTTGCGCCGACTTCCAGCTGTGTGCGCGCTGACTGTGTCCCGGGCTCAAAGTGTGTCGAATATTCAAGTGAAAATTTCGCCCCAGCCCCAAAGACCCGCTGCGATATATCGCCGAGTCCTCCAGAGTGCGGCGCTTCGATGACGTTGAGCTTGGATTTGAATTTGGATCCGATCGACCATGTGTTGGTGTCTTTCTGCCCATGCATGCATGCAATCTATCGACACGGAGAAAAATAATGAATGTTCTATAAGGAATTTAATATTGATAAGGTTGGTTATTGGGTATTTATATCAGCAGTTACTACTTAATAACTTAGATACTTAAACTAAAGAGGTTGCCAGATAATTTTGAAGTCAATATTATTTGCATTTCCAAACATTTTGTACATTAACCATTAGTAATTGATAGGATTTATTTTTATGATGAATTAACATTATTTTCTCTGCATATGCATCTCTCTGTTATGGGATATCTCTACGTCTCTACGAGGCTCTATAGGTGGGTAGCTCAGAGTCTCGGTCTCTGGCGTTTTTCGCTGGGTCTTGGTCTGGTATTTGATTAGACGGCAAAAGGCGACGGCGGCAAACTTGATCGCATTGTTGTTGTTGTTGGCCGATGTTGTTGCTCTGGCTCTTTAAGTCGAACAATTACATTTTAAGCGTAGCACAACCTTGGATACCGTTATATTTTTGCAGTTGGTTGGGCGTGTGTTCAGCGAATTACCCAACAAACATTCGCAGCTGGATTATTCGCAAAGGTTTCTGTAAGTTGAAAGGGGTTAGAAGTTGACTTGGTAAGATTGAATTGCATTATAAACATAAAAGTTGCTGAAATAAATATTTTTAAAAATGAATGTATTCTTTGAATACGATTTATCTTTATCATTATACTAAGCTAACATTAAGGCTTCGATTTATTATCTTCAGAATTGATGCCTTTTATCGTTAATTTTAAAAAGTATTACAAGTTATAACTCCTCAAATGCCTGAAACTGCTGATATAAATCATCTTCTTTTTAAGCCAAATATAATCTTAGTTTAAACTAATTTCAAATTTAACAACGGCTAATCGTTTGTGAGCCATATTCAAATTACTCTTCTTCAAGCTCACTTTTGCCAGCTTAGGCTGCCATTTTCTCCCCAAAAAGGGAGCCCCTGAATAAACCTTTACTCCCGCGAAATGTTGATTTGGTTATGGGCCGGAGACACCGCACCGCTGGGCTAAACACGACTCGGCAATCTGCAAACGTCCCAGCGTTCGACAGTCGACAGTCGCCCCGATCGGCCAGTCAGTCTCCGAATCGGGCTGAAATCCAGGCCCAGGTTCAGAGCAAAGAGCCACAACCGTAGACCGAAGACTGAAGACCAGACCTGGCCAAAAGCGAGTCGACCACACCCGCACACTTCATTATTTTTATGTCGCCTGTGGTGGTACGATTTAAACGACAAACGCGGCAGCCGGCGAGCAGACGTTGGCGAATGGATCGCAAGACTGTGGAGCCAGACTTTGGAGACCAAGACACGACATCCACCGAGAACGGCCCCCGCTCACCTGGCCAAAAGACAGAAATAAAGCCCCCCAGTCCCAGAAATACAAAAACAACAAAAAAAAATAGGCACAAAAAGAGCCAAAAGCAAGCCAAGAAATTAGACGCATTCGACGTTTTGGAACGAGCGACAAGTCAAAGTAGCAAAAGACCTGGGCACAAGCTAACTCCCTATACCTCCTGCTCTTCACCTTCCTCACTTCTAGCTCCTAGCCCATCTCTTTTCATTCCAGTATGGCCATCTCTTTCTGCATCTCCGGGCACGTTGCTCCTTTTTGGAGCCAGGGCACATCTCATGTTGATGTTACAATTGCTGCTCCGTTCATTGGATTTTCGGTTTTTTCGGTTTTTTTTTTTTAGCGATCGTGCGCCAGTTCAAATGTGCCTAGTGGGTTTGGAAATTTGTAGCGCCCAAAACAGCAAAAACAACAACAACAACAAGAGCCAGTACAACGGCAACAACAATTACCCACAATTACAACAATAACGAAACAGCAACAAAAACAACGCAGGCAAAAGGAAACTTCGTTAGTGGCCAAAAAGATATCCAATGTGGTACCTCAAAAGTGCACTAAGAAAAGCTGTTAGCTTCTCTTTAATTTTGTCTTTAAATTCGAATTCTTTGCCTTAATGTCATACCTTTTTGTTTTTCTCAGTGCACGATCTTCAGTTACAGCTATGAGCTTCAGCCAAAGTTCCTAAAGGTTCCAACGTGAGGGAGTATGAAGTGCGGGTGGCTCGGGGAGCCGGTGTAATTTATCTTGATGTTTAAATCAATAATAACGCCGTCAGTGTGCGTTTGCTTTTAGCGACTTTTGATAGCTTCACCGGCCAAACGGCCAGGCAGTCAAAAAAAAAAAAAGAAAAAAAAAAACCAAATAAAACCAAAAGCCGGCTAAGTCAGTCAGGGAGTCACAGAGTCAGTCAGTCAGTCAACTCCATCGATATTTTAATAGATGTTGCTGCCGCGCGATTATTGTTATTATTACTGTGGGGAATTTCAATATGCGGCCGCCGTTTGCGCAGATTATTAAGGCACGAACAGGAAAATTACATCGATGACGATGACGTCGACGAGGCGACTCGGAGTGTTTTCATAATTGTTGCCATAGGCTTTTGATCTGGTTTCGTTCTGGCCACATTCGGTGCGAGTGTGTGAGTGTTGCTGGCATGCCGCCGAAGTAGGCCGCTTTTTGGAGACACGGTTCTTGGTCTGGCGTCTACGCCTATTCGTCTGCTGATCTTTACGGGCTTTACTTCAGATTTTCCTACTATTTCCATTGTTCAGTCAGTTTTGGCTGAAGAGCTGCGATTGCCAGAGGTTTTCTGTATTTAGTTGTGGGCCGAATTGTTTCGTAATTGTAAAATATGTTGTTATGCTTTAACTTGTTGTTGCTGCTGCTGCTGCTGTTGCTGCCGCTTGCGATGCGACAAATGTGTGTACAGTTAGCCGAGGGCTGGCGGCATCTGCACAAAATGCGGGGGCGGCGTAATGGTGGGGGCGTGGTACATGCACTGGGAATTTTCACTTACAATTTGATCTGGGAAAGGCAATGTTCCGATTGTGCTCAGGAATTCAACGTCGTTTGGATGAGTAACGATTGGGAAAAACTTGAGATTCAAGTTGAAATCGTTGTAAGACATAAATTGCATTCGAACTAAATTGATTGGACTTAAAGAAATTCACTAGATTGAGGTAAGATAGTGAGGAAAATAATAAAAAAAGGCCTTTGATTCTACTCTTAAGTTTCAAGACTCTAACTTTTATTGAATCTAAGAATAAGCACTATAATTGAAGTAAAGACATTAGTAACTCAAAAGATTGATTAGTATTATAAACTAAATTCTGCTCCACTCCTATACAAGCTGATTCCTCCATCGCCGACGGTGCCACTGTGCGTATGCGCGTTGTCCGAGCTGATTCGTTGCGCATACGCCTCGCATGCCACACGACAGCCATTTCGGCTCGGATTACCGAGCTGTAAAAATGCCGAAAAAAAGCAAGCAAACGATGCAATACAACACACACACAGATGCACCTACACACATATACAGAGAGACACTTACACACGGACACTGGCACGTTTTAGTGCCCATTAACGAGCAATTGCAATTTAAACTGGATCGCTCAGTTAGCAATTTGGAGCGTTGCTTTTATGCAACACACAGCATCGCAGTTGCAGCCTCTCCTGGCTGCACCTCCTCTATCTCTCCTCCTCTCTATATATCTCCTCCACCCGCTCTACAACCCCTCGCAGCTGGCATTTTGTGGTATTTTGGACAAATGTAGATTTTTTCTGCAGTTTGGGGTTGAGTGGCCTGTGGGTCCGGCGAGCATCGCATCGCATTTTTTCGTCTTTAGTTTTATTTTGACTTGCACTATTTGCACAGGGAAAAATATTTCTGAAATAATTTATATGTTTCGGGAAAAGGAAATAAATGTATATTGTTATAAAATTTGATTTTTGGCCTAAAGACTTTTCTGGTTACCATTTGGATAGATTAAGC